GAAGCGAACTGGAGCCCGAGCGCGCCCCCGAACTCACGCTAGACACCGGAAGCACACAACCGCGTGCCGGGAATCCATTAAATTGCGCAATTAAACTGGGTATTTCTTGGGCAGTGCCGGCTGTACGGAGTATAGTCCGTACTAAACCGTCTTAAAGGGACGAGAAAGCGCCAGAATCGACCCTTTGCGGGGGACTGGGTTTTGACAGATACGCCGGGCTCCAAATTACACTTACAAAATTCCAAAATGTTCCAATTTCGGTTTTTTTGGGGATTTTTTCGACGCAACCCGAGAGAGTATTAAAAATACACAAAATTATGGAATTTCAGGTCAAAATAATGCTTATAAAAATAAGGGACGATAGCGGGGGCCTAGGGCTATCCATTGGCAGTCTTAAAAATGCTAGATATTGCACAATTATTAAAATTAACGATTTTTTAACTTTGTGCATTTTCGGAAATGAAAAGCGCTCTAAAAGTTTAGCATAAAAATCTTTGTACAAAAAAAGGCCTCATTCCGGGTTCATTTCCGCACTGGCAATCGGTACGTGAACAGCAGAACTTTCTAATCCCGGGCCGGGTGCTGCGGGCGGGGGTCGAACCCGGGTCGCGTGGCCTGTCAAAGCTGCCCCGCTACCAATACACCAAACAGTCCGCGGGTCCGGGGAGGCCGGGGGATGCCAAAAACTCCCCGTAGCTCCTCAAATCCCTACTCTAGCATCAAAAAGGTCGTTTTATGCTGATTTGGCTCTGGAAAATTTTAGAAAATCTACAAAAAGCTAGATAATTTTTTTAAAGATGATAAATCTAAAAAGCCAGAATAAAGCCCAAATGAGTAAATTTTAGTTTAATAGAAATTTAAATTAGTCTATTTATGCTTTATGCTTTTCTTTGCGTGGATTTTAGACCACATAGGGTGCTTTTGCAGGATGAAGCCCCGGCTTTCAGCGTCCGGGGTACCGGGTGCAAAGGGAGGGGGCGGAAGTGGATTACCGGCCGAAATGGGAGGAGCAAGAAGAGAATTTGATGAAACCTGGGGTCGACTGCAAGTGTGGGAAATGGTTTTTGGGCGCCAAAGGCTTGGCTTAAGTTTGGGCTTGGGCTTAGGCTTAGGCTTAGGCTTAGGCTTAGACTTAGGCTTATCCCAGGCTTAGTCCTGACTTTGGCTCGGGCTTAGGCTTCGGCTTTGTCCTGGTTTAGGCTAAGTGCTGGCTTGCTTAGGCCTAGGCTTGAGCTTAGACTTAGGCTTAGGCTTAGACTTAGGCTTAGTCTTAGGCTTAGGCTTGTGCTTTGGCTTAGGCTTAGGCCTAGGCTTAGCTTAGGCTTAGCTCATGCTAGGCTTTGTCAAAATAACAGCATCAACAGTGCGAAACCAGGCAAAAAGCCGAACTCTTAAAACCCCAGCTGGAGCGGTCGCTAGCAAGGGGTTCTTTGAGCAAGGGCAGGCTAGCAGAGATTCCTTGCGGAATTCCGCTCAAATCCGCGCAACACCCTCAAATCCGGGTGTTTACGAGAAAACGGGAGGGAGAGATTAGGAAGATAGAAAAAGCGATTTGAGCGGGATTATCTGGGCTGGGCTGCTAATCCAACAATCCTTTCAAACCGGCCGAGCGAGGAAGAGACAGAGAGAGAGAGAGAGAGAGAGAGAGAGAGAGAGCGAGATAGAAAGAGTGAGAGTCGGGCGGAGAAAAAATTCCATGACGCCTCAAAGCGCAGTTAAACCTCTAAAAATATTCTAAAAAATTCCGCCCCACTCACGTCAATCCGGCGGCCCCTTTTGGGCGTGGGACTGAATCCGAAATCGATCAGCAACAGGCTGACGCCAAGCGGTTTGCTGTAAAAACGCGGCGACACGTAGTTACGAAAGGATCCCGAAAAACGGGATGAAGCAATTTACATAAAATGTTAATTAGAGGTTCAATAAATTAGCATGATTCCGAAAAGCGTATTCTTGAAAATTTGGCGCATTTTCACACCCTCGCGATGTCGTCGAGGGCCGACGGACCCTCCTCGAAGGCATCGTCCTCGAAGCGGCCGACGACGGCGAGTGCAGCAGCTGCTGGTGGGAGGATAAGCCGAAGCCTATGCCTAAGCCCAAGCCAAAAGTTCAAGCTCAAGCCGAAGCTAAAAAGTCGAAACCTAAGCCTAATATACGGCTAAGCTTAAGCCAAGGCCTAAGCCTAAGCCAAGCCTAAGCTAAACCTAAGCCTAAAACTAAGCTAAGCCTAAGCTTAAACCTAAGCCCAAGCCTAAGCCTAAGCGAAGCCTAAGCCTAAGCCTAAGCCCAAGCCTAAGCCCAAGCCTAAGCCTAAGCCTACGCCTAAGCCTAAGCCTAAGCCTAAGCCTAAAACGAAGCTCATTTCAGCCGCCGCCGCAAAAAGCGAGAAGCAGCCCCCGAGCAAGACGTGCGGCCAGAAGGTGAAGGAGGCTTGCGTCGAGAAGCTGAAGGGGTTCCTCAAAAAGGTTGGAAACGCAGGCTAAAGCCATGGCTTCTACGTGCTTCTAGCTGCCCTGGATCATCTTTGTCGCCAAGATTTGCTACCTTTTCTCAGGTAATCGCCGTTTCCGCAATGCACTCTGCTAGCCTGCCCTTTCCTAAAGAATCTCTGCTAGCCTGCCCTTTCCTAAAGAATCTCTGCTAGCCTGCCCCTTCCTAAAGAATCTCTGCTAGCCTGCCCTTTCCTAAAGAATCTCTGCTAGCCTGTCGCCCTTTCCAGTGGTCTACGAGGTCTGCCTGTACCACGCCGGCATCGGCCCCGTCTACCAGCTCGGCACCAGGCCGCACGATTTGCGGGTAAGTGGTGGTTGAACTGAACTCGTTGAACTTGACGCCAATAGTGATTTTGAGGTGCTCTTCATCATCTTCATCGTGCTGGGCATCTTCGTGTTGCTGCTCGACTCGACAATACTTGTGTTACAGTTTGGGGTAGGTAGCTGGCAGAGATTTTTAGGAAAGGGCAGGCTAGCAGAGATTCCTGATGTTTCAGAACGCGCTATGCAAGAAGAGCCTGCTGGTGGCGGTGGTGGGGCTGCACATCTGCTTGGTGGTGCCCTGGGCGTCGGCAGGTGTGAGAGAGAGAGAGAGAGAGAGAAGAGAGAGAGAGAAGAGAGAGAGCTACCAATTCCAGGCTTGTACATCTCCCATGTGGCCCACCCGGCCTACATGTACAACCCGTCAATGGTGCGCTACGACGACTGGGTGGCGGCCAAGTTGAAGCTGGCAAACCGGACGACCGCCGCGGTAAGGCTCTCTCTCTCTCTCTCTCTCTCTCTCTCTCTCTCTCTCTTCTCTCTCTCGCTCTCTCTCTCTCTCGCGCGCGCGCGCGCTTCATCTTCATAATTTTAGGGCAAAGCCAAGGGATGTACCTCCTACAACATGGCGGCCATGGACGACTGTGCGGTGCGAAAGGTGGATATTGTCATTTTTAGCTGAAATCTCTACGTCCTACTGTAGATCCAGGAGTACGGTAACTGCTGCGGGGTGCATGACGCCCAGACGACGCTGCACAACGTCTCCAGATTGTTGTTGGTGGGAGGGAGAGGATAGAGAGAGAGAGCGAGAGAGAGAGAGAGAGAGAGAGAGAGAGAGAGGAGAGAGAGCTGCAACTTTCAGAAAAGCATCAAGGCCTGCCCGTTCAAAGAGAAGCGGTCCGGCGACGCCAACACGACGACGATCACCTTCCCAAGCGGGTAGCTAGCAGATATTCTTTAGGAAATCACAATTCCTTCCAGGAGCTGCAACTCCGTGCTGAAGGAGCGCTACAAGATGATGCTCTGGGTAGGCCTTTGGTCGAGGCACATACTTTTCACATTTTCTAGTTGTCCTTCGGCGGCCTGCTGCTGTACTCGGTAACCTGGTTGCTGTTGGCCCCGTTCATCTACGTGTTGTTTGAGGTATTTGGGACGGAACCGTCGCTCTTTCTCTCTCTCTCTCTCTCTCTCTCTCTCTCTCTCTCACTCCCACATTCCAGCTCGACCGTCGCGCCTCGCGCGCCAAGTTCGTCCACCAGTGGCAGAAGACGCAACGTATCGCGCTGGAGAAGCAGCGCAGCGATGCCCGTGTACTGCTTGGGGTCGGTGGTACCGCTCTCTCTCTCTCTCTGACCCTCGCTCTCTCTATTCCCTCTCTAGGATGAGCCCGACATCGAGGCGACGCAGCGCACGCAGGACAACACGCAAGGTGACTCTTCGAAGAGCGGAAGCCGGAAGGTGGCCAAGCCCGAGCCGGGCAGGAAGAAGAAGACCGAGACGCTCAAGGAGAACAAGACGCAGACCGAGAAGGAGAGGACAAAGTGGGGATTGTCTTTATTTTATCCATCCCTATTTTTTCAAGGGCGTCGAACACGGCGAAGACGGGCGCCGCTGCCGCCGACGCCGACAAGTCGCGCTCGTCGGGCGGCTCGGAGTCGCAGGAGACGTACACACCATCGCCGTGGCGACGTGGGAATTTTGGGGTGGAGAGAGGGAGAGAGGGAGAGAGGGAGGCGATGCGGAGAAAATAGCGGGTGGAGAGAGGGAGAGTGAGAGAGAGACGGAGAAAAGAAGAGAGAGAGAGAGAGAGAGAGAGAAAGAGAGAGAGAGAGAGAGTGACAGAGCTATAGAGAGAGGGAGACAAAGCAAGGTAGAGATGGAGAAGGCGAGAGAGAGAGAGCAAGAGAGAGAGAGCGAGCGAGAGAGAGGGGAGACAGCGAGAGAGACAGAAAAATACTTAAATTTTTCCAGGCCGCCCTCGCTACCCCACCTTCTTGCCGATGGGATGAAGCTGTAGCTCACTCCCGCCCTCGTCTCCCCTCCTCGGCCTCCTGGATCTCTCGCCTCGGCTCCGCTTTGCCACCGTCTTTAAACCCCTCCACAATTCGGGTCCGTGATCTCGTTTCTTTGTGTGCATCTTTGCCCCCCATTTTTGGTGCGTATTTTTCCGTCCTCCCGACCGCTGACACACTCGGAATAAATGCTATATTCGAAACACCGCCCAAACGAGGCGCCAAAAATAAGATTTTAACGGTATTTCCGGATCCAGGCCGCCCTGAAAAGGCAAGAAATGAGTTCCAAAAACTATCGTAAAGCCCACCGCTCTTCCGGCGAAATTACGCCAATTTTGACGACGTTTTTCGGGCCGCGGTTCCAGCTAAAATTGCGCGACATCACCACGCGCTGCCAGTCATCACCGTAGTCAGCCTGAATCACCGGGGGTTTTGGTACTGGGCTGTTAGCGGGGGAGGGTTGTTGGGGGGGCGTTTTTACACCGTTTTGCTATGTACCAAAGGTCATAAAAAATTATGAAGGTTTTTGGGACGGGCGATTCCACGGCGTAATCGATTAGACGATTTACTTACAGAATTACGATTTTACATATTTGGGTTTGACATCAAAAGCACAAACCGGATCCCCATAAAAAATTGTCAGGGCCGTTTCTGGGGTTTGGGAGGTTGGGGTTTTGGGGGAAGGGAGGGGGGGAGGGGCCGGGGCCAGGGGTAAAGCATTGCATGCCGGGGGTTGGGGCCACAATGCAAAAATTGGAGGGAAATTTGCCTTTTTTGACCACCACGTGTATGGGCCAGGCTTTTTCGTAAGTGCCGCGCCTGTGGCTGCAGCCTTACCAACCGCTTGCTTAGGCATTTGGACTACGTAGGACACGTAGCCAAGCCAGTAATTCACTGCAAAGCCGAAGCTTTCCAAGCAGTTCACAAGCCGAAGCTTTTCTCTAGGCATTAAGGGGAGCCATCTACCCATTTTCAGGCATTAAGGGGAGCCCTGACACCCATTGGTCAGAAGGTCGGGGTGAACCGACTGACGAATTGAGGTGGAGAGGGTTGGACTATCTGCCCAGACGGTGGGCCAGGTGGGGGGCGAGTGGGAAAGCACGGTGGCGCCCGGTTTAATTACCCAAGTTTGCGGTTAATTATCCAATTTTTCTTATTCGAAGCCACTGCCCAAGCATTTTTTTATGAAAAAAAAAGAAAGAAATTTTTATGTAAAACCCAAAATATGTATAATCTGATTCTGTGAATCGGCATTTTGTAAATCGGCATTATCAGCTTATATCCGGTTAAGCACGGGTCACTTGATCGCTTACGCCATGTAATTCCCTGGTCGTCATCTTCTACATATTGATCTTCTCTGCCTCTCTCTCCCTCTCTCGCTCTCTCTCTCACTCTTACTCTCTCTCTCTCTATCTGTCTCTCTCTCTCTCCACCCACCTGAAGAATCTCATCCGCCATACACGGCACGTAGAAAATGCTACCATGCAAGGCGGCTGCGCACAGATGCTTGATTCTGAGAATTCAGAATTGGAATTTATGGAATTAAAGAATTCTTTTTAAATCCTAGTGAATCGCTAATATACCTTGGATAATATTGGCGGTACTTCTCATCTTTCCCGACCATTGTTATATAGTTTCGATCCAGTTTTGCGTCGAGATAGACCGTGAAAAGGTCGATGGAGAAGGAGGGAGCACGGACGCGGACGCGGATCGTGACCTCATAGCTGTCGCCGGGCTGAATATGTTGAGAGAGAGGGAGAGAGCGAGAGAGAGAGAGAGAGGAGAGAGAGAGAGAGAGAGAGAGAGAAGAGAGGGAGAGAGAGGAGAGAGAGAGAGAGAGAGAGAGAGAGAGAGAGAGAGAGGGAGGAGAGAGGGAGAGAGAGAGAGAGAGAGAGAGAGAGAGAGAGAGAGAGAGAGAGAGAGAGAGAGAGAGAGAGAGAGAGAGAGAGAGAGAGAAGGGGAGAGAGTGACGGGCGGGTTTTTAGCCCTCGGACGTAACGAGTCACGAACGCGTCACACCACTTTACACCGCGTAATTGATTGCCCAAACCTAGTTATTTGTGACAAATAATCTTGTAAAGGTTATTCTAACTCTAGAAACAAAAGAAAGATAGTTGTAAAACAGATATGGAGGTGAAAGGGGCATGTTCTTGCGTGTTTCGATCAGATTGACGATTTTGCTGGTTCACCACACATGTCTAACTAGCAAGAATCCTTATACCAATACTGATTCAATCATGTGCCGACTGCCATTATAAGTAAGTGTTACGCCATGCACTTTGCTTGTTGACCGTCTACAAAACCAACCGAACTTCTTCGAGAGTATTTAAACGATGAGGATGAAACCTAATGATGTGACGCGCGAGCATGCGCAAAACGCTGGTGATGATAGGGACATTGTAAAGCGCTTGTCTGCTTTGCTTTTTACCGCTACCATTGCTCCTTCGAGTTCAGCCCATCTAGCCTCTTCTAAGTCTTAGCCTACGGATCAGTTACAGGGTGGGCCAGAAAAAAAGCCCCGAGTTTGCACTGAAATATCTCGCGAACGGAAACGAATTGGACCATCGTTACCTTGCCAGAATGCTTAAATATGCTGGGTATGAAGAATAAACACAAGTTGTTTTTTATGATTTTTGACGACCCCCTACTCGTTAAGAATTTTTGAACATTTTTGAAAAAGTAGTAAACTTCGAAGAGGAAAATCATGGACCTATTGATGAGTTAGGGGCACATGTAGGGTATCAAAATGAAGCTCTTGGAATGCGCTATCAAACTAATGGTAAAGAAGACAGAACAGTTTAACTGTTTGTAAAGGAACGTTCGGAAAATCAGCACTTTTCGCCGAAATAATTCCAGATATAATTTCTTTACCATTCGATCTTTCTCATATTTTGCCTTTACCAATAGATAGTTAACTACTAACTTTTGGCATTAAGAGTTCAAAATTCCGTCAAAATTTTGGCACTTTTTAAATCGACTGGAGATTGTAAGTCCTAGGCTCTCATAGTTCAATTTATAACATGGTTATTTTTGGCAAACAGGATTATCTAACAAATTTTAAAAAGTGACGGCGGCCATGTGCTTTCTATGGTTAACTCGGAATGGCCCCTTCTGGAAAAGTCCGGATCTTCTGAATGCTCTCTATTGACGGCTAGTTCATCCGAATGACAATCTTTACCACTGGATTGATAGCGCATTCCATGAGCTTCATTTTGATACCCTACATGCGCCCCTAGCGCATTAAAAGTTCCATTAATTTCCTCTTCAAAGTTTTCTACTTTTTCAAAAATGTTCAAAAATTCTTAACGAGTAGGGGGTCGTCAAAAATCATAAAAAACAACTTGTGTTTATTCTTCATACCCAGCATATTTAAGCATTCTGGCAAGGTAACGATGGTCCGATTCGTTTCCGTTCGTGAGATATTTCAGTGCAAACTCGGGGCTTTTTTTCTGGCCCACCCTGTATACTGTGATATTTGGGTAATTCACAAAAGATTCTTGCATTGCGAACATTGTGTGTACAATGTTTGCTAACGATAATTGCTCGCGAAAATGGAGAACAACGTGGGGGTGACTATAGAATAAGCTTCTTCGTGTTAGAACAGGCTCTCGTATCCGTACTGGTGTGCAATGAACCAGAAAAACCGTCAATCTACTCGAAACGCGCGAGATTATGCCCCTTTCACGTCCAAATCTGTTTTACAACTTGCTTCTTTACAACTATCTTTTTGTTTCTAGCGTCAGAATAACCTTTACAAGATTATTTGTCACAAATAACTAGGTTTGGGCAACCAATTATGCGGTGTAATGTGGTGTGACGCGTTCGTGACTCGTTACGTCCGAGGGCTAAAAACCCGCCCGTGAGAGAGTGGGAGATACCACCCACCCTCCCGAGAATCCTCGATATCCCGAACGTCTCGTTCCCGGTGTCGATAATGTTGTCGACCATCCGATACGGGTACTCCGGCTCGAAATACCCGACGTCCATGTCCGGCGTGTGCGTGATGAAGCCGCACTCGCGACGCCAGCCTGAAAAAGTGGAAATAGCAAGAGCGAGACAGAGAGAGAGTGAGAGAGACAGAGAGAAAGAGAGAGAGGTAGAAAACTAACCCAATAACGTGCCGGCCAACAACATCGGGACGGCCTGATAGCTGAAGGACAAATCACGAAGGTGCGCCAACCATTTCACGTCTTCTGGCAAGATATAGCGACGATACCGCCCCGTTGTGTTGACTTTTACTGAAAAGTGTGTTTTCTCGATCTCTCGGTCGCGCTCGATGTGGCTATCTCTCTCTTGCTCGCTCTCTCTCTCGTTCTCTCTCTCTCGCTTTCTCGCTTTCTCTCGCTCTCTGTCGTTTTTTTGTCTCTCTCACCCTCTCGCTCTCTCTCTCCATTTCTCTCTCCTACATTTCAAACATTTCATCTGCCGCGAATAGTCCCACAGCTTCTGATGCAGTGCCCAGTTTTTTGGGTACAAGATGCGGTCGGCTTGGTTGAACGCGGACCTGAATGAAGATCTCGTTTGTTGCATCGCGTAATCGAATGCCGGCTCATTGGATTACGCGCTTAGGCTTAGGCTTAGGCTTAGGCTTCGGGTTACGCTTAGGCTTAGGCTTAGGCTTAGGCTTAGGCTTAGGCTTTGGCTTTGGCTTAGGCTTAGGCTTGGGCTTAGGCTTAGGCTTGGGCTTAGGCTTAGGCTTAGGCTTGGGCTTAGGATTAGGCTTAAGCTTAGGCTTAGGCTTAGGCTTAGGCTTAGGCTAAAGAAGGCTAAAGAAGGATTTCGGTAGAAGTATTCCCTCACATCGGCATAATACGCAGAAATCGAAGGCCTCGGATTTCATAGTAGTCAGGACCACCCGGGTCGACGAAGCCGAGCACTTGCGTGAAGCCGTATTCTAAAAAGTGTGTGGAAACCGAAGCTAAGCTTCCGAAGCCTAAGCTAAGCCTAAGCAAAACTTGAGGTCGACTCATCTTCTCATTGGAATGTGCTACACTAATGTGAGTTAGCGCCTTTGAAAGGACGGAAAATTGGCTACAAAGCCCAAACGAAAATCTTAGTTAAAGCCTTGGGCCTAAGCCCACTTTTCTGTAACGCGGCCGCCGTCTCAGCGTCCCCACTGACCGCCACCAGCGGGTACCGTTCCGAGAAGCAACGCGCTGACAGGTCACCGTACTCTGTAAAACCGGGCGTTTCAAGGGACCTCAAAAGCAAATCCGTGGCCTTGCAGCCTGCGTAAGTCTAAGCCTAAGCCCAAGGCTAAGCCTTTGCCAACCCCCGTAATTACCCCAAGATCATCAAGTCCAAGTGCTCGACGTATTGTCGCGGGCAGATCATGCTGTGGCTTGCCTGGAAAAAGGTTTTGAAAAATAGGTTTCAAATTAGCAAAAATTCAGCTAAATATAGCTATTTTCCTCACCAAATAAACCCAGAAGACGCTGAACAAGACGAGCGTCACGAAGAGGGCCACGTAGCGGAGAAGCCTGGGGAAATGTGGAAGCTAAGCGTCAGCCGAAGCATGATCCTCAGTCTGAGTCTGAGCGAAGCCGCAGCTTAAGCTTAAGCGGAAACCTAAGCTTAAGCCTACGTCTAAGCCTAAGCCTAACCTAAGCCCAGCCCAACCGTGAGCCTGCATCTGAGCTTAAGACTAAGCCTAACGCTACGCCTAAGCCTCATTCGAAGCTTAAGCCTAAGCCTGAGCTAAGACTAGGCCAAAGCCCAAGCCTATTCCTAATCCCAAGCCTAAACCGAAGCCAAAACCGAAGCCTAATCTGAGTCCAAGCCTAAGCCTAAGCCCAAGCCTGAACCAAAGCCTGCCTAAACCTAAGCCTAAGCCGAAGCCCAGGCCCAGACCGTTGCCTACCAATTCAAGCAGCCCGGCAGCCAGCGCCTCCGCATCAATATAATTATCATTACAAAAAACTTGGTAAAAATCAATCTCGTGATACGATTTTCCAGTTTTTTACGGCCGCTACGGGCTAGGCCGTAATTTGTATTCTGTCGTACCGCATTGAGATGGGCCGCGATTACCAACGACCGTCCAAACTTTGCTTCCCAAAATCGATAATTCCGGAAAACGTCCGATTCCTAGAGGATCGGCGCTAGCCTGAGCCGATATCGATGCTTTTCCGGTTTCTGCTCGTCAGCTTCTTTAGTTTGTGGGGTAGGTGTAGGCGGCTAGCTAGCAATGATTCTTTAGGAAAGGGCAGGCTGGCAGATATTCTTTAGAAATGGCAGGCTAGCAGAGATTCTTTAGGAAACCTTTTTTAGCACTTATCTCGGCCAGCGAGGATCTACCGTATATCGATTTGGTCGAGGGGCTGGACTCTAGCGGAGGAGATTTTGTCGCAGCTTGTGTGTGGAATCTCGACTCCAGACTACCGTAGCCACTGACTTAAATTTTTGTGAATTTTTGAACCCTTCAGGTATCTCGGGGTGTACCTTAAGGATGGAAAGAAATCTTTGGGGGACCCGTGGAGGTGAGAGAGTGGATAGAGAGAGAAAGAGCGAGAGAGAGAGAGAGAGAGAAAGAGAGAGAGAGAGAGAGAGAGAGAGAGAGAGAGAGAAAGAGAGAGAGGGAGAGGGAAAGAAAGAGAGAAAGAGTAAGAGTGAGAGAGATAAAGAGAGCTAGAGAGAGAGAGTGAGAGAAAGAGGGAGAGAGCGAGAGAGTGAGAGAGAGATTCCAGCTTAACGTCACCGGCGCAGTGCACCGAAGCCGAGGCGATTGTGCTGGTTCGGCTCGACGGGAACGCCAAGTTCAAGCAGGTCAATGAGGTGGGCGCAGTCGGGCAGCCAGCAGAGATCATTTAGGACACCTAAACCCTCAATTCAGGCAAAATACACCAATTCCGCAGCCGACTGGATCGTAGAGGAACGCAACCTTACCGTAATCTGCGTCATGATAGTGTATGTCGTGATTTATGCCTTCATTCCTAAATTTCAGCAAGGAGAAGCGGCGCTACAACGTGAAGATCATCTCCGACAAGAGCGCCGTCCAGGAGAAGGGGTTTTCCCGCATTCCCGACCAGGAGCCCTCGCAGTTTTTCAGTGTAATTTTAAAAATTTGGGAATGGGTTGGGTTTAGGCTTAGGCTTACAAGGAGTGCTTTTTTTGAGTCATCGGCAAAACCTTACGAGACCTAGCTCATTCGATAGAGAATTCGATTCTGAACAAAGCCCCGTTGTTCTTTTTTGCAGAACGGCTATCCCTGATTTTATAAAATTAAAATAATAGTGACCGTCTCTTACCATGAGTGCCTTTTGAGCCAAAAGAGAGGCTTTTGGGTGCAGTTTTAAAATTTTATAAAATCATTGATAGCCATTCTGCAAAAAAGAACAACGGGGTTTTGTTCAGAATCGAATTCTCTATCGAATGAGCTAGGTCTCGTAAGGGTTTGCCGATGACTCAAAAAAGCACTCCTTGTTAGCTTAGGCTTAGCTAAGACTAAGGCTTAGGCTTAGGTGTAGGTTCCGAGCTCTTTTTTAGCTGGAGGTCTTCAACAAGGACGGCTGGCGCCATGACTATATGCTGAGGGCGCAGCGCGATGGGAGGGTAAGAATTTGAAGTCCTAAAGAATCTCTGCTAGCCTGCCCTTTCCTAAAGAATCTCTGCTAGCCTGCCCTTTCCTAAAGAATCTCTGCTAGCCTGCCCTTTCCTAAAGAATCTCTGCTAGCCTGCCCTTTCCTAAAGAATCTCTGCTAGCCTGCCCTTTCCTAAAGAATCTCTGCTAGCCTGCCCTTTCCTAAAGAATCTCTGCTAGCCTGCCCTTTCCTAAAGAATCTCTGCTAGCCTGCCCTTTCCTAAAGAATCTCTGCTAGCCTGCCCTTTCCTAAAGAATCTCTGCTAGCCTGCCCTTTCCTAAAGAATCTCTGCTAGCCTGCCGTTTCCTAAAGAATCTCTGCTAGGATTTCGCCCCATTAGTCATAAATTCCATTAGTCATAAACCCATTAGTCATAAATTCCATTAGTCATAAACCCATTAGTCATAAATTCCATTAGTCATAAACCCATTAGTCATAAATTCCATTAGTCATAAACCCATTAGTCATAAATTCCATTAGTCATAAATGTTATGAAACTGATTGCTTGGAAATGTTATTCTCTGATATAATCCCATTAACAAATCCAAAATTAATAGGTTTAATGATATCCGATCACGTGCAACCAAGGAGTTTGATTCGAGAACACGACAAGGACCATCACATACACCTCAAAACCTCTAACCTCAAACCTCGAAACTCAAAACTCAAAACTCAACACTCAAACCTCAAAATCTACGGTTAATAAAATTTATGACTATTGAATTTCTGACTAATGGAATTTATGACTAATGAGTTTATGACTAATGGAATTTATGACTAATGGGTTTATGACTAATGGTTTTATGACTAATGGGGTTATGACTAATGGTTTTATGACTAATGGATTTCGCCCCTCTGCTAGCCTGCCCTTTCCTAAAGAATCTCTGCTAGCGTACCCTTTCCTAAAAAATCTCTGCTCGGTTACCAATCCCGTTAAAGGACTTCTACAGTACAGCTGGGGCTATGGACACCGATGAGAAGCGGAAGGAGATGGCAGATTTACTGCAAAAACCCCGGATCTCCAATGAAAAACCGAAACGTTCGGAGGATGAATAAATTGTTTTCAATCCCCACACCGCGTACCGAACCTGGGACAATACGTTTTTTTAGAATTGGCAGGTCCCCGCGTTTCAGCTTTCCGGGCCGAAAACTGCCGCAGATTCCCCGAATCGTTTGTTTCTGTTGAATATTACAATGCTTGTGGTGATTTAACGTATACGTAATATTGCTGCAACGTATAAGAACGTTTTTGTAAGATTTTTATCCCAAACACGGCCCGAATCCATGAGCACCTTCCTGTTCGCGGTTTTTGGTAAGGATTGAGTTTTTCTGATTCAAAGAACAACAAAAAAAAAGCCCACACGCCGGGTGTCCGTTTCGGTGTTGAAGGCGGACTAGCAGGGATTATTTGCGAAGAAATGGCACTTCAATAGTCCTATAATTTCTACTTAAAAAGTTAGAGCTATTTTTCGATCATTTTTAGGCCCGGGAGAAGCTTTTTGTGGAGTCTAGAGTTAATAGACCGACTTTTACGTTTTTTTAGTAATATATAACTCTTTTAAACTAGGAAAACTATCTAAAAACTATCTAGAAACTCGAAAAAAAGTCGAATTTGGCCAAAAATCGGACCTTTTTGGTCGAAAAATCGATATTTTTTGATATTTTTTAATACAAATTTTTTAAAGTTTTCACGTTTAGGAATAGTAGAAAACCATTCAGAAACACTTCCACCATTGATATCCTACCTTATATAATTTTGGGGTGTATCTCTGTGTGTGTGTGTGTGTGGATGTCACTTTCGAGGCCCGATTTAAGGGCCTTCCCCTGGATAAAATGCGCTGATTTTTTGTCACTTGGGGGAATCTACCCTCTTCTTTCCGATGGCGTTTTTAGAATTTTGATAAAATAAAAGTTTACAAAGTTAAAGCCGGTTTTATTCTTTTTTGGGGGTAATTTGCATAATATGAAAAAATACAGATTTCCTCATTCTTGCAATTTGCCCGCGCGTGTGTGGTCGGTGGGGGAAGGGGTCCGAAGGACCCGAGCTATCGGAAAGTCAAATTTTTCATGCAAAGGCCCAATTCCAGCGCCCAAGGCCCGCGAAGCGGGTTTTGGGCGCTGGTTTGAAAAATGAGATCCTTGGCAAAAAAAATTTGGTCCCCCGCGAAAATGATTAAGAACCCGGCCTCGGATCAGCAAAAAAAAAAATTCTACACAAGAGGCTAGGTCGCACTTCGCGACGCCAACTTATCCCTTCACAGGCCTAGCCACGCTGCCGCGGCTGATCCTGGGCGATGACGGTGACCTGCCATATATCGACCTGATGGAGGGCCTCGACTCGAGTGGCAACGACTTTGTGGCCGCCTGCGTCTGGAATATGACGGCCGGCAGTGGAACGGACATTCTCTATAACACTGAGTAGGTTTGCTCCCCTGTTATTCGGGGCGGAATGGAAGCTTGTGCCACACTACCGGGGTGTCCCAATAAAGGCAGCCCCTCTAGCGGCGCGCAATCGCGACCGATTTCACCTCACTCACGAAATCTCACGAAAGCTCTCGAAATGGCGAGAAAACAAGGAGGGTTCATTCTTCCTTTATTATGTATTGTCTTTCGCAAATTTTACGTCCAAAAACCATCAAAACTGCTGATTTATGCAAGATATGCATGCTAATTACGAAATTCTGCTTGAAAAACTGCCGGGTTTTTTAAGAAAAATTTTAGCCATCGAGGGAATGACATTTGAGAAAATGAAACCCGCCGGTTTTGTCGGGTTTTCGAGTGCTTTCGAATGCGTAAATGGTAAAATCATCCCGATCGGAGGTTTCTACGGACCGCTGGAGAGGAGTACTTTTTTGGGACACCTCCTGTAGCTTCGAACTCTGCGCAACATTCCTCTTAGGTACTTGGGCGCATATCTGAAGGATGGAAAGAAGTCGCTGGGCGACGCCTGGGAGTGCGTTATACGGATTACTTTGAACGGACTATTTTCAAAATGTCTAAATTTCATAATGTCGAAATTTCAGAACGTCGAAATTTCAGAACGTCGAAATTCATAATGTCGAAATTTCATAATGTCGAAATTTCAGAACGTCGAAATTTCAGAACGTCGAAATTCATAATGTCTAAATTTCATAATGTCGAAATTTCAGAACGTCGAAATTTCAGAACGTCGAAATTCATAATGTCGAAATTTCATAATGTCGAAATTTCAGAACGTCGAAGTTTCATAATCTCGAAATTTCAGATTGTCGAAATACAGAATGTCGAAATTTACATAGACTAATTATATATAATTTCCAGCGAAACCCCTCGATTTTATGCAAAAAAAAATTAGGTCATCTAATTCACTAACTTTGCAACCAGAATCCACGAAAAATGCTGATTTATGAAAAAATTCGCACTTCAATTCTTTGCCGAAACTGACGGAGCGACGCTGTTTTTGCCCTTCTTTAGGGAATCTACTATAATAATTTTGCTGTGGTGTCTGTCTGTCCGTCCGTCATGTCCCAGATTCAACTCGAAGGGGAAAGGAGCTAGAGCTTAGGTCTCTTCGGATTCGGATAGAGCGTGGTCAGAAACCCCAAAACTGATAAAAAATTATGAAAAAGTTTTAATTTAAATTATTAAAATTAACTTTGAAAGTTTTTTCCTTAGTAAAAGGGGTGGTTGGGGTGATTTTGGGCATAGTGAGCCAGGTGGCGCGCGTTTCGTGGATGAAAACTTTCACGGGGGCTTTCATTTCTTTTTTTCTCTCATTCCATCCGGTCGGTCGTTATTTTCGTTTTTTAAAAGAATTTCGGCTAGGGGAGGTATCTAAAGTCATCAGGGCGGTATCGAAGTAGTTTTTTAAGGGGATTTCGGCTAGGGGAGCTATCTAAAGCCATCAGGAAGGTTTTTAGGTGGTTTTTGAGGGGGATTTCAGCTATGGGGGGGGGTGGTATCTGAATCCGTTAGCGTGGGTATTGATGGAGGTGGGGAAGGATGTGGTGGTGTGGAACATGTAGGATAGCCCGAAGGCCAGATGGTTACAGTCGCGAAGCGACTGGAACCATCTGGTCATTCAATATCCCGCAACAGCCTAAAAATTTTGAAAAACTAAAAACGCTAGTTTTCTCGCCTTTCCGAGGACTTTCGAATGGTTTGAAATCTTCCCGATCCCAGCTTGCTCTGGACCGTTAGAGGGGGTCTTTTTTGGGACACCCTGTCGGCGCTTTTTAGTAGTGACAACCCGGAGAAGTGCCAAGAAGCGGAAGCTGTCGTAGGGCTGCACACCGACGAGCGCGTCAAGTTTCGCCACGTGCACGAGGGAAAGTACACCGAGTGGTCGGCCATTTGGAAGGTCAAGGAGTCCGAGGTGGAGAAGGCGGACACCATCGTTTGTGTGCTCATCGTGTGCGTGTTCAGTATTCTCAAAGGGTTCCGGCTAGACTGATCGTCACACCGCCAGTACCACCAGATTCAGGAAAGAGAAAAACCGCTTCAACGTGAAGGTGGTCGGCGAAAAGGGGACGTTGATGGAGAAGGGCTTTGCCAGGTACCCCGACCAGGAGGCGTCTCGGTATTTTGTGGTGAGTTTAGAGGTACGGGCGGGTATCTCTTTAATGAAGGTAGCCTCGCCATGGCTTCAGTGACCCTCTAAGGCCGCTTGCTTTTTGCAGCTCGAAGTCTTCAAGCACCCCGGCTGGAAGCATCACTACCTGCTGAGGGCTCAACGCGACGGAACGGCAAGTCGGGCGGGCTGGCAAAGGCCATTTGGGAGGGTTGCTTTAGCTTTAGTGGCCCGAGGCTCAGGCTTAGGATTCGTCCTGGTTAAGCTCAGGCTAGGCGCAGGCGTATGCTTACGCTTAGGTTTAGGCTTAGGCTTAGGTTTATGCTTAGGCTTAGGCTTAGGCTTAGGCTTAGGTTTATGCTTAGGCTTAGGCTTAGGCTTAGGCTTAGGCTTAGGCTTAGGCTTAGGCTTAGGCTTAGGCTTAGGTTTATGCTTAGGCTTAGGCTTAGGCTTAGGCTTAGGCTTAGGCTTAGGCTTAGGCTTAGGCTTAGGCTTAGGCTTAGGCTTAGGCTTAGGCTTAGGTTTATGCTTAGGCTTAGGCTTAGGTTAGGCTTAGGCTTAGGCTTAGGTTTAGGCTCAGGCTTATTCGTGGGCTTAGGCTTCGGGTTAGGCTTAGGCTGGTCTTACTGAGGCACAGGCTTAGGCGTAAGCTTAGGATTCGTCTTGCTTAAGCTTAGGCTTCGGCTTAGGCTTAGGTTTAGGCTCAGGCTTATTCGTTTTGCTTCTCATCGCCTTTTTGCCTAGGCTTTGCTTCTCATCGCCATCTCAGCTTCCAGGATTGGTACAGCAAGGGAGCGGCCATGGATTCTGAGGCAAATCGGGACAAAATGGCTGAACTGATCCAAAAACCGCGATCCGAATAACCGCGGGATGCCAGCCAGCAGAGATCATTTGGGGAATTGTTACCGCATTCGATAAAACAGCAAAAACAATTTACAACCGGTTTATTCGCCTTTCTATTCACATTCTAGCCATTCGGCTGGCTGCTTTGATCTTCTTCAAGGCCGCCTCTTTTTGGGGGTCCATTTTCTGGCAGACGCCCCGCACGCAGTGTCCTTTGTAGCAGACCGGAACTCCCGGGGCCTCGAAACCCGAGCAGTCACCGCCGAGTTTCACCTGAAAATTTATGGAAAATCGGAGAAAAACAGCTGAAAAATTTTTGATTTTGAAAAAGGACGTGAAAGGTGAAAATCTAAGCAAAAAATCTCAAAAAAAATTAGTTAACGTTAGCGCAGCATTACTATCAGCTTTAACGGATTTTAGCTGATTTTTAAGGGAGCGTGACAGCAAGAGGAATATGAGCTAGAGCTCTAGATCAAGCAGCAGGGCAGGCTAGCAGAGATCATTTGAGAAACGGGGCAAACTAGCATAGCTCACTTAGAAATCAAAGGCAAACAAGCAGAGACCGTTTGCGGAAAAAGGGCCGGCTAGCAGAGAGCCTTTGAGAGACCCAAACGCTCCTATAATTACCTTCGCGACGCAGAGCGGCTCCCCCTCGAAGACGTGGCAGAAGAGGAACCTGGAAAAATTTAGCGTTCTGGTAAATTTTTTGGTTTAAGGTCCCCCGCAAGGCATGGCGAGAGGCGAAGAGAGAGAGTGCGAGAGGGAGAGCGAGAGCGAGAGAGAGAGAGAGCGAGAGAGAAAGCCCTCTACAGTAACCCACTTGGATCCACAATCCATCTTTTCCTTTGTACAAGTTGGTCGCGGTGCAAATTCGTACATGTGGCGGGTGTAGAGATTTGAGAGGGCGTCCTAGGGCTCAAGTTCAAGGCGTTCAGGCGAAAACACAGGCTAAGCCCACGCCTAAGCCCAAGCAAAGTCTAATCCTAATCCTAAGCCTAAGCGTAACCCCAAACCCCGACCTTGTTGGTGTAGGGCTGCAAAAAGGGCATGAACATGTCGCCGTTGTGCCACGGGGGGAAGCAGCGCTCATCGTTCTCGTGGTAGACCGTTTCGCGTTGAGTTTCGTTCTGAAAATTTTAGTATCTCTCTAGCTCTCTTTCTCTCTCTCTCTCTCTCTCCTCTCTCCCCCTACTCCTCTCTCTCTCTCTCTATCTCTCTCTCTCTCTCTCTATCTCCCACCTGTCTCTTCTGCCTGTAAAGTTCAAAAATATTATCAATCATCGAATGATGCAGACAAAACACGATATCATTCGAAGAAGAGTGCGAATGGCCCATGTCGCCTAAAAAATCATTTTAAAGGGATCATCAAGGCAAAATCCATAAATTCCGAATGCCAACCCACCCCCAACAAAGAAGTGGACATAGTCGTGGGAGTATTCCAGGAATCGATCGTCCAGTGCTGCATAAGTAGGGCAGGTCTGAATTCACAGAGCATCGGTTTTAAAGGGACTTTGAAGGCAAAAATCCATGTCAGAAGCCTTACCCTGATCGGCATCGTGGCCGCCAATACCGCCCGGAAGTCTGGGTTATCAATTATCCAATCGACTCGAGCTGGAAGAGTAATTTTTATAGCCAATGATCTCTGCTACCCTGCCCTTTCCTAAAGAATCTCTGCTAGCCTGTCCTTTCCCAAAGAATCTCTGCAACTTCACCCACCTCGACTCAAGAATTCGCCCTCATTATCGTGGCTAATCGTGCGTTCGATGGCTTCTCGGCCCTAGCGATACGGTAAATCCAGATTTTTGCATTTTAAAGGGACTTGCAAGTCACGGAAGTACCTCCATGGTCGTCCAATTTGCATACGGGCCGTTGCGGACGAGGTTTTGATCGTCAATCTCGCCAAGTAGCTCGACTCTGGAAATCCATCGCTTTCGTTGTCTCTCTCTCTCTCTCTCTCTCGCTCTCTCTAGCTCTCTCTCACGACACTCACGTAAACATTGCGGTATGTCTCTGGTCCGGTATCAGCGAGTCCATCGACGAGTCCCAGTACGGGATGCCCAGATAGTGACCGTATTCCGGCTTCATCTCGCGCCGTATCACGAGTTCGAACCTGAAACGTAGATTTTTCTCTTCTCTCTCACTCTCGCTTCTTCTCTCTCTCGCTCTCTCTCTCTCTCTCACCTTTTCAAAAATTCCCGATGCCACAGAGTGAAGCCAGGGCCCGAGTGTACGCCGGAATACTTGTGTACGCGGCTGATCCGGTTGTACTCGCCGGAGCGTTTTAGGCGATTCACGGCCGCCTGGAATGACATGGGTTTAGTAAGCACATGCTTAGGCTTAGGCTTAGGTTTAGGCCTCGCTTAGGCTTATGCTTATGCTTAGGCTTAGGCTTAGGCTTAGGCTTTGGCTCCGTTTTTAGGCTTAGGCTTAGGCTTACGCCTACGCTTAGGCTTTGGCTTAGGCCTCGCTTAGGCTTAGGCTTAAGTTTAGGCTTATGCTTGGACTTAGGCTTAGGCTTGGGCTTAGGCTTCGACGTAGGCTTAGCCTCAGGCTTAGGCCTCGCTTAGGCTTAGCTTAGCCGCTGGCTTAAGCGAAATCCCAGTTCACCTCAAACTCCATTCGCTCATCATCCCTCAGCTGGCGTATCTCCTTCCGTAGGGCACGCTTTAGGATGTGGCCCGACGGCAGATGGCATTCCCCATCTTTGACTTGGCCTGGAAAATTAAAGAATCTCTGCCAGCCTGCCCTCAATTAACTGTTCTTATCTCTTCCTTACCTTTAAAATACGGGCACACGCACAGGCGATCTCGACACGGCATGTACAGCGCTTCTTCGGGGTTCCATTTCGGCGGATAGTGCGGCTAAACGGCGTCCTTTCTACCGTAACCCAGTGACCTACGTCCTTATCCTGATCGGGGACAAAGTGCTTGCCAAAAGAGGACTGCTCAACTTTATCAGGGTCGACCTGAAAACCGGATATTGGTGTAGGCTAATCCTACGCTAGGCTTAAGTTGGCTAAGCAAGGCCTAAGCTAAGCCCAAGCCAAGTCTAGGCTGTTCCTAGCCTACGCTTAAGCAACGCCTAAGCTTAAGTCAAAGCCCAAGCCAGGCCTAAACCTAAGCTTAGGGGTTATCCTATACCTAGGCAAGGTCTATGCAAAGCCTAAACGAAGCCTAACTCAAGCCAAAGCTTGCTTCAATCCTACCATTTCGTGCCGATGCTGAACTTTAAACCAGGGCTGCACCGTCTTCTCCACGTACTCCCTCCCGTTAATGTGGATGGTGTTCGACCATTCGAATGTGGAGGCTGTCTAAGATTTTGGGTTATTTTTGATGTCACAGCCCCTTCAGGGATATTTTGGTGCTGGACTCTTAGCGGGGGGGGGGGGGGTTTAGCAGGCGTAAAATGCTATACAATTGGTTTGTATTTTGTTATCGGGGCCGTAGAGAATCACAGGGAAAAATTTGGTCTCCCCCGCTAACAGTCCAGAAACGCTATTTTGACGCTATCCCGGTGTCACGATCCCTTTAATCTGAAAAGGCATTACGTCGATGACGTAGATGAGCAACAAGCTGAGGCCGTCCAGGCCGATTGCCATTTTTCGGCGCTTCATCACATTTACCCTAAAAAATGGGTGGAAGAGATAGTAAAGAGCGTTTGGGAATTAGAGGGAGGTCGGCAGAGATTTTTTTTAGGAATGGGCAGGCTAGCAGAGATTCTTTAGGAAAGGGCAGGCTAGCAGAGATTCTTTAGGAAAAGGCAGGCTAGCAGAGATCACTTGAGAAAAAATGACAATTACTTGGCCGACCCGTTTCCTGCCTCTCTCTGTAAATTTCGGCAGAAACACGGCCCTGGATGATTTATCGCATTTTGCCCGGAGTTCGCCGTGGGAGCGTCGTGGCGTCGGCTTTTGAGGGTCGGAATTTCTGATTTCCAGCACCAAGAAATACTCAAAAAAATGCAACGAAGTACGGTAGGCGATCGAATTTTTGGTTCGCGGCGGGTTTCGGGTGATTCCTAAGCCTAAGCCTACGCCTACGCCTAAGCAAGCCGAGCCTAAGCCCAAGCCTAAGCCTAAGCTGAAGCCAAAGCCCAAACATCTGCTTAATTTTAAGCCTAAGCATAAGTCCATCGAAATAAATCCAAGCACCTAAGCTTAAGCCTAAGCAAGCGAAACCTAAGCCTAACCTAAGCCAAGAAAACCTAAGACGAAACCTAAACCAAACCCCAAAATTAAGACAATTACAGTAACCCCCGAAGCACTCCCCCGGAATTCGGGGAATCTCTGGCAGATAGTCGCCGCTTTATATACCAGGTTGACACTGACAGGTGACGGGTATTATGCCGGTATTATTTAAGCATTGCTCTCTCTCTCTCTCTTCTCTCTCTCTCTCTCTCTCGCTCGCTCGCTTACTCTCGCCATTATGCGTTCCCGGGGCGGAAGACCGGAATCTCGCTGCCAGCCTAACCCCGCGACGGTGTGAGAAATGGGTCAATTGCTTCTCTTTTGTGGCAGCCGGCATTTGCTTATGTCATTGTGCCTTTAAACAGGGAGAGAGAGCGAGCGAGGGAGCGCGATGGAAAGAGCGAGAGAGAGAGAGAGATTTTTAGTTCAAATTTTCGTCCTCTGGATGTTGTCAATCCCAATCCTTCCTTCATTCCTAAAGAATCTCTGCCAGCCTTCCCCCCCATTCCTAAATGACCACTGCCAGCTCTTCGTTTTTCGCCCGTCCTTCGCCAGAAAAACGGCCGCAGATCATGGTTGTCGCCCAGCTGACGACTCCCGTGGGACATACAAGAGCTCTTCGGCTGGCTAAAGTTCCTGAAAATTGAACATTTTTATGCTTTTCTCTCTGTCTCTATATCTCTGCCTTTCTCTTTCTCTCTGATCTCGCTTTCTCTCTGGCTCTCTCCCTCTCTCACTCTCTCTCTCCCTCTCTCTCTCTCCCTCTCTCTCCCTCTCTCTCTCCCCCTCTCTCTCTCTCTCTCGCTTTTTCACTCACATTCTCTATCTCGCTCTATCTCTTTTTCTCTCTCTCTCTTGCTCCGTCTCTCATTCTCACATTCTGTCTCCTTGATTTCTCTGTCTCTCACGCTTTCTCACGCTCTCTCACTCGCTCCCTCTCGCTCTCCCTCTCTCTCTCTCATTCTCTCTCCACCCTGCTCCATTCCGTTCCACTCCAAAAGCCGTTTTTCTGGGTCCCCTTGGCCCGTATACGAACGTCAAATTTGGTTGTCCCCCTTCCCGCGGACTATTCCCTCGAGGCCCCGGCTGACGATTCTTCGTTTTGCCCGGAAGATAGGTCTCTGAATCTGGGGTGTACGGTAGCTTGGGTGAAGGCTAGCAGAGATTATTTTGGGCGTCGGGGAAGCTTGCAGAGATCATTTAGGGCTAACGGGTAGCCTTAAAGGTGCTATGGGAATTGGAAAAGCTAGAAGTGATAACCCAGGAAGCACGGGCACCTAGCCGGGATTCAAAACCCCCCAGTTCAACTTTGCCCCCCTCCAACTCGTCGAACTTCTCCCGCCACAATTTCTCGCCCTGATGCATTTTTGGTGGGTAGAGCGGGTGGGGGCTAATGCATGTGTATAGAGTGCTTCTGAATGCATTTCGGGTCCCGCGGCGAAAAAGGAAAAAGCGCCCCTCCCCCTCCCCCCCGCCCGGCCGGGTCCCTGAAGAGGAGGAGGAGAAGCTGCCGTTCACCCGGGGGCAGGCGAGAGCGAGTCAGAGAGAGAGAGAGAGAGGAGAGAGAGAGAGAGAGATGCAGGGTAGGGCGAACGGCCCGAAGAAGAAACATCGACGTCCCTTCCCATCCACGGCTCCACCCGCCCCCCAAACGCACACACCACACATAGTCGTTGGGCCCAAGTTTTTGAATTTAGAGAGTTTTCCGAAATGATCCTTGCTAGCCTGCCTTTTCCTAAAGAATCCCTGTTAGCCTGTCCTTTACTAAAGAATCTCTGCTAGCCTGCCGTTTCCTAAAGAATCTCTGCTAGCCTGCCCTTTCCTAAAGAATCTCTGCTAGCCTGCCCTTTCCTAAAGAATCTCTGCTAGCCTGCCCTTTCCTAAAGAATCTCTGCTAGCCTGCCCTTTCCTAAAGAATCTCTGCTAGCCTGTCCTTTCCTAAAGAATCTCTGCGCCTGCCATTTCCTAAAGAATCTCTGCTAGCCTGCCCTTTCCTAAAGAATCTCTGCCAGCCTGCCCTTTCCTAAGTAATCTCTGCTAGCCTGTCCTTTCCTAAAGAATCTCTGCGCCTGCCCTTTCCTAAAGAATCTCTGCTAGCCTGCCCTTTCTTAAATGATCCTGATTCGACGTCTCTAGATTAGGAAATCCACAAAAAAATTTGATGATTAATCGTGCCCCACTTTAGAGCACTTTCTTCCTATCGCAGATCTGATCAACGCCCACCCAAATATTACACCGTCTTGAAGGCAACCGCGGCTTTTAGACGGCGCGAATCGGACACTTTTCTCTAACGGATTTCCAAATGATCCCGCCCTGCCTGCCCTTTCCCAAAGAATCTATGCCAGCCTGCCTTTTCCCTAATCATCACTGCTAACAGGCCCGCTTTTAACTAATTTCTATTAACAGACCCTTCCAAGAATTTCCTATAAAATTCCTGCTCTTCGAAATGAAGAAATGACTACAGTAATGTTTTGGCGGCGCGCAGTGTAGTCGCACACCCGAAACAAAATAATTTTCCGGACTGCCGGAATTTTGTGGAACTTTTGGGCTTATTACGATGTATTCGGCTACCTGTTATTGAAAGAAATCGGCTAAGGCGTAGGCTTAGGCTTAGGCTTAGGCTTAGGCTTCGGTTTAGGCTTCGGCTTAGGCTTAGGCTTAGGCTTAGGCTTAGGCTTAGGCTTAGGCTTAGGCTTAGGTTAGGTTAGGCTTAGGCTTAGCTTAGGTTTAGGCTTAGGCTTCGGCTTAGGCTTAGGCATTTGGATATACTCTAATCTCCAGTCACACTACAGTAAACTCTCCGCGTTCCCTCGGGGAATTCATGCGGGAAATCAGCGTATTTCCCGCGTAGATTGGAGCGAGGGAGTGAGAGAGACGCGAGAGTGCGAGAGAGAGAGAGAGAGAGAGAGAGGCGCGCGCAAGCGGCTTCTGCTCGTTTCGGGGTTCATTCCCTTTTTCGGGCTCTTTCAGGCGCTTCCCAGGGCCTTCCGATCAGCCATGGCTGGGGCCCCAGGGCCTCTAGAATAGAGACGAAAAATTTTGGGACGCAGAAAGAATCTCTGCTAGCTTGCCCTTTCCTGAAAAATCCCTGCTAGTCTGCCCAGATCTAAATTGTTAGACTTATTCATATTTCAGAAATTTCGATATTTCCATTACGTTCCAAATTCCGTGCACTCAAATTCCCCCACCCCGTCTGACTCAAGAATTGGCTGGCGGCCAGGTGAAAGGGCTGACGGTTCTTTTGAAAGGCGCTTCAAGCGAGAGCGCAAGGTTAAATGGGTTCGAATAGACGGTTCTTATCGGGCTTCTTGCCCCAACTTCACCCCCGGCATCAGCTGACTTTTTCCGGGCCAGCTGATGCGCCAGAAATTAGGGGTTGATGTGATCATTTTTTCATCATTTTTGGGCAGCCAAAGAATCTCTGCTGGCTTGCCCTTTCCTAAAGAATCTCTGCTAGCCTGCCCTTTCCTAAAGAATCTCTGCTAGGCTGCCATTTCCTAAAGAATCTCTGCTAGGCTGCCATTTCCTAAAGAATCTCTGCTAGTCTGCCTATCTTAAAGAATCTCTGCTAGCCTGCCCTTTCCTAAAGAATCTCTGCTGGGCTGACATTTCCTAAAGAATCTCTGCTAGGCTGACATTTCCTAAAGAATCTCTGCTAGGCTGCCATTTCCTAAAGAATCTCTGCTAGTCTGCCTATCTTAAAGAATCTCTGCTAGCCTGCCCCTTCCCCAAAAAATTTCTTGTCTAGAATCTTGTTTTCCAATTTTTGAGCATCACCAGCCCCGTTCAAAAATCGCCCAGCCGCTGCTCGGGTAGATAAAATGGTGTTTACGCTAGCTTCGCCTGTTTGTCTGCCCCCCAACTTCTTCTGTGTGATAAGTTCAGCACCACGGAAATTGGCCGATAGAACTCTATTTCTTAAAATAGACACTTCAAGAATATCACCGGAAATCGCGCTTTTTTTAGCAGTCAGCAGTTCGAAATCCATTTTTGCAGCTGCCCCTCCCCCACCCTCAACCCAAAATTAACTGCAGCTGGTCTCCGCGAAAATCGGGCGCCTATAAATTTCCCAAAAATGTCACCGGGTTTTGGGGGTACGGTAGCTACAACGGGGTTTGTTTGGGCTTTGAAATGATCTCTGCTAGCCTGCCCCTTCCCAGAGACTCTTTGCTAGCCTGCCCTTTCCGAAAGAATCTCTGCTAGCCTGCCATTTCCAAAAGAATCTCTGCTAGCCTGCCCTTTCCGAAAGAATCTCTGCTAGCCGGCCCTTTCCTAAAGAATCTCTGCTAGCCTGCCCCTTCTCCGGAAAGAATCTCTGCTAGCCGGCCTTCCTTGAAGAGTCTCCCTAGCCTGCCCCTTCCTCAAAGAATATCTGCTAGCTAGCCCCTGAATTTCAAATGATCTCTGCTGCT